CCAAATATCTAAGATCAAAGCTACCCTGGAAGGATCACATGGATCGTGTAGAACCACAACAAAAATGAGCAAGAAGGAATCCTGGGGCAAGAAAGCCAGAGAACTTCCATAGGGCGCTGCCTTGCAGGGAAGATGTGTGGCAGCTAAAACCCAGGAAAGCTGTCTGACATTGGTGTCATTTTTGGCCTCTGGTCCTACAGGCAGGTCCACTCTCCTTGCAGAGAGAGTAAGTAATATGGCCGATGTTGGGAAATAAGGTGAGAGAAGAAATCTCCTTTCCCAAGTCCCCATTAGGCACCCGACAAGTGTCATCAGGGCTGGAGCTGGGTCCCTCCAAAACGTCACCTAATGCTTGTCTCTCCAGCCCTTTCCTTCCTACCTTGCTAACAGGCACTAAAACCATTTACCCTAAAAAGCAATTCTTCACAACTGCTATAAAGGTGGTCGCAAAACAGAATGCAAATGTCATAGATAATCCTTCTGATAGAATATACATAACATAAAAAAATTTTAACAATCAATTTAACAATAAGAAATTCACTAAAAGTAACAGTTTATCAGCACAAGGCCAGAGCAGCAACAGAGGGTCAAGAGCAGGGAAAATGGGCGGGTGGAGGGGAGACGTAAAAATAAGCATATCTCTTCATCTTAGACAACAGAGTTAGTAGAGACACTTGACACTGATAATAAGTGATATATATAAGCCAAAATATTATTTATTGAATGTAACCATTAGTAGAATGTGAAGGGATTTATATTCCACAGAAACTGCTAAAAAGGGAATCAGAAAATAGAAGAAAAACAGAGAAGTCACCACCACCACCCCAAAAAAGGAGGCACAAACAAGAGGAAATAGAAAAACAAGACAGCAGAATTAAGACAAACCGTGCTTTCCTAAAAGACAAACCAGAACAAAACACCCACAGCTTTTGATGGTCATGCCCTCTTGTCTCCATCCCAGCTTCTTCTTCTCTTCGCTGCCTTCGCTTCAGCCACCACGGCCACTGTCTCTCATCAGACCCTGTCATTCCAAACAGTGCCCCACCTTCGAGAGAAACTAAATCAATCACCACACACCTCTCTTTACATCTCACCTGCAGAAGGGGAGAGGGCAGATTGGGGAAGGCTTTGGCTTCTTTGGGGTTTTTACTAGGAGAAAATGAGATTTGTTTAAAAAAGGAAAAAGAAAAAGCCAATGGAAAGAGTTACGAAGGAAGAGGATGGACAAACAGGAAAGAAAAGGGAAATCAAGAGTGACAAGTCCTGAAGATGGCAGTTCTGAAGTTTCGAGGGAGAGACGGGGTCAGGAAAGGGAGGAGCCACTGGCCTTAGAGTTAATCAAGCCTGCGATTTATCAGCCACATACCAAGCTAATGGAATGAGTCCGAAGCAGCACTCAGAGGACAACTGAGACTCAACGCTATTGCTTCCAAAAAGAGTGGACCAGAGAAACTGAGCATCTACCTCAAGAGGTCAGAAAAAGGACACAACAATATGAGGAAAGTTTTAAAAGAAAGTAATAGAGATAATATTACAAATTAATACTATTTTAGAAAGACACCTGCAGAAACAAATAAATAATTTCAAAAGTTGACTTTTTGAAGAAACAAATATATATATAGTATGTGTGTGTGTGTGTGTGTGTATTTGATACAATTAAGGGGGAAAAGATTAGGAATAAAAATGTGACTTAACCATAAATATGATGTCTACTTTTTTAAAAGGAAATAAGTACTATTTCAACCCTACTAGTATATTTGAAAATCACTAGGAAAAGGGTTTCTAGAAAAATCTATAAATCTATAAAAATCTATAAATCACCACAACTTATTCATTAAACAAACAAGCCAAGCAATTCAATAATCACAGGTAAGCCTTAAAGACTTCCAAAGACACACACATACAGATATATATGTGTGTGTGTGTGTGTGTGTGTGTGTGTATATACTACATCCAGGTGAAACTTTCAGGCTCTACCCAAACCCACAATCCCTTACTTACAGTTCTAAAATTCTAAACACAGTTTATTTCCTAAAACATTTCGAAAAGATAAAGCCCAACGGGAACTCACTTAACAGTAAAATTGGACCTGAATTACATATATATATGAAATTTATTATGCCAGTTATTGTTTTCATGTCATAGTATGAAACAGTAATGCGCTTTCCTATGCCTTGCTCGGAGTGATGCAGAGTGATACAAGGTATGTATCCTTTTATCACCTTTCTAAAAAGCTGAAGGTTCTGAGTTCTGAAACATATCTGGTCCCATGGGTTTCAGAACAGGCCCTGTGGGCTTGTATAAACTGGTATAGAGCATAGAAAAGAGATGAAAAGTTTCTCAACTATTTTAAGAAGTTTGTTAACCCTGATCTAAAATTTGGCAAAAGAGAATTTACTCGAAAAGAAAACTGCAGTCTGATTTCATTTGACTATAGAAGCGAAAGGTTTTATAAATGATATTTTTTCAACTTGGTAATGAAAAATATGGTCACTGTTAGAAACGGGTATGTTCCCCCCAGATTCATATGTTGAAGTCCTAACCCCCCAAAACCTCAGAAGGCAACTGTATTTAGAGATGGGATCTTTAAAGAAGTAATTAAGTTAAAACAAGGTTGAAAGTGTGGGCCCTGATCCAGTATGACTGGTGTCCTTACAAGAAGAGGAGATCTGGACACAGAGGTACACAGAAGGAAAAGGCCAGGTGAGGACACGGTAAGGAAGTAGCCATCGACAAGCCAAGGAGAGAGGCCTCAGAAGAAACCAACCCCACCAGCACCTTGATCTGGGGCTTCTGAGTCTCCAGAACTGGGAGAAAATGCATTTCTGTTGTTGAATCCACCCAGGGTGTGGTACTTGTGGCAGCCCTAGCAAACCAGCACAGTCACATTTTTAATATTTAAGTTTAAATAATGGCGAGTACCCATCCCACCATCATAAACATATTCCTTTTCCTTCTCTCTGGGTACCACTTTCATGAAAATTCCAGGAACCTCAGGGACACTTACTCTGTGCAAACAGTCCTGGTTACGAGCTTTATAGAAAAAAAGCTAGAAAATCTGACCAGTCCACCAGAGGACCAACTGTGTTGCTACTGTTATTCTTGGACCACACAGACACGGTACTTGTTGAAAGCACATGACCCAGAAACAGGGATCATCCTTGTCCATGGATCAAAGCTTATCAGTGGTCCAGACACCAGCACCAGATGGTCCATGCTCCTGGGCCACTGTCACAAGCATGGGGGTTCTTGAGGCATACACCACCCAGGCTAGTCCTGAGGAAGTTCTCAGGATGCACCGAAGGGAGGGGACGTGGCTCTCCCCCAGTATCATGCTTGCATATGGTGGTTCCGCGTCGCTCAGTGTCTGAGCTCCCAGTGCTGCCATTTCCTTACATAGCACCTTCCTTACACACAGGGCCATTTCCCCAAAGGCATTGCACTGTGCCCAGGTGCCTGAGTCTAGGAGGCTCCAGGCTCAGCCACACACTCTGTCTGACCTGACATCCTGCCCCACATGCTCAGCCTCTTGGCTCTTAGGAGAAAAAGCAGCCCTTCTCGCTCGCACTCAGTCCAAAGCCTGCTTCTGCCTGTCTGGCATTATTCATCATACTATTTTCAGGGGGGAAATCTCACCTTGTGAGATGAAGGGTAACCTGGTGAAATGAAACAAAAGCAAATCAAATCCAGCCAGGTAAAAAGAGGTGTGCTCCATAAATGAGTAAAGATTATCTCAGGAAGGCAAAGATAGTGACATGTTAGGAGAAATCTTAAAACATCGTATCACGAAGTCAAAGGAGAAAAAATGGACACATCTTAAAAGATGGGGAGGTGACTTCAATAGCATTTCAAATTTATAACACTAACCACCATAACAAAAATATTTCAGTAAACTAGGAATGGAAGAGTGCATCTTGATATAAGAAAAAAAAATTTAAACTGTCCCAAGCCAAACGCCAATAATGGCTAGTGGAAAATAAATGGTGTTCCCACTTACAGAAAATCATAAGACAAGGCTCCTTGCAATCATGGTCATTGTTTACAGCATTCTAGAAGTTCTAGACCTGTGCAGCCCAAAATGACAGCCCCTATCCACGTGCGGCTGCTGAGCACCTGAAATGAGGCTCATCTGATCTGAGATGTGCTGTCAGCATAAAATACACACTAGATTTTTAACACTCAATACTTTTTCAAAAGAAAGTAAAATTTGCAAATGATAATCACTATACATGAAAGTAGATAAAAAATAAATTTCTTCTGTATAGCATAGGCAACTATACTCAATATCTTGTAATAACCTTTAATGAAAAAGAATATGAAAATGACTGTATGTATGTGTAGGTATGACTGAAACATTATGCTGTACACCAGAAATTGACACATTGTAACTGACTATACTTCAATTTAAAAAAAAGAGTAAAATTTCTAATTCTTCATTTTTATATCAATTTAAGTTGAAATTATATTTTGGGTATACTGGGTTAAATAAAAAATATATTATTGAATTACTTTCATGTCTCTTTTAACTTTCTATTACCGTAGCTACTAGAATATTTTAAATTACATATATGAATGGCATTATCTTTCTATTGGACAGTGTTCTTCTAGACAGTAGAATAAGGCAAAAGGAAAGAAAAAAAATCTTCAGCCACAAGAAATAAGAAAGTGCAATTATTACTGGTTGAGGATTAGATGACTGTTTAGATGAGAAACTATTCGATATTTTTAAAAATAATTATTTAGAAGTTAATGACTGTTTTCTATGCCAGCATTAGACAGAGAATACAATGGAAAAATAAATTTCAAATGTCCACAAAATACATAATGTACTCAAGAATAAATTGTACATAAAATATAAGACTTTTTATAAGTAAATAGTTTAAAATGGCTTTTGTTTCACCTTCGACCACAGTTTAGGGAAGAACCAGAGATGTTCTCTGAGAACACTGGTCTTTGCGGATGTCTCTTTCACCACAGACTGAGCAAGTCGCTGTACTCACCAGACTGACAGTCTGCAGTGGCCGCAGAGGACCAAATACCCACGTCCATCAAGTATGGTAGGACGCACAGCACACAAGCTGAGCAAAGACCTTGCTTCTGGCTCCATCTCATGTTTCCTCTCCTGACATTTCTTTGCATCGTCATCCAAGCACCGCACTGTAAAGCATGACACACATACATCAGTTAGAATTACACACTGACTCCGTGGCTTGTTTCTTCTCTTACTCCTTTAGCTTTCTTACGTCAGGCTGGCCCTTCTCCTTCTCTCAGATGACATTTCTCAGTCATCTAGTATTGCTTTTTCAAGGACAAGCACAGTTTGTTTCTGGTGCTCTACCTTTTCATCTGAACAGACACCTCCTTTTCATTAGAGGTGTTGGAAAATGCAGCTCTTAGGACTCTTAATTTTGACAAACATGGCAAAGACTTAACCTGTGAGCTGTCAAGGGTAGTTGCATCTACACCGAGGCTTAGTAAGGATATAAACAAACCTTTTGGTAACTTTGTTAGGATGTTAATTTTGATGTCATTTAATGCAGGAGGAAATTCGTATACAGTTTCTCTGAATCTTTAATAAGTTAAGTTTAATAACTGGGAAGGCGAGGCAGGGAGTCACGTATCCTTGGCAGAAGTCCACCTTGTCCCTCCACTGTTTGGAGCAAATCTGAGAGAAATCCTGAGAGCCTCCAAGACCCAAGACCTGTGTGATTTTTCTTGTCTATTTTCCAGGCCTGGAGCTTGGGACTTCCTTACCTCCCAAATGAAAGACTCCCTTCGGCCCTGGAGACAAGGACAACAGCCCCCAGAAGCCCAGGGGACATTTACAAAGGCCCAGGAATTACAGGGCCTTGCAGTGTCTCTCTACTCCAGATGTGGACTCAGGAATCTGATCTGAGGGCCGTCCTAGGGAACTACTGGCTGCGGAAAGCGGGGAGGACAGGAGGATCTAGGCTCACAGGGGAGGTGTGCCATTTCTTAAGGCAAAAAAAAAAAAGAAAAAGCATGGAGAAGTGGCAAATGTGGAGGGCAACGAGTTGCACTTGGGACATTTTTATTCCAAGGTGGAACTACCAAATGAAGACACGTTAGTAGGCATTAAGATCTGGAATTCAGGAAGGATATTGGCCTGTAGACCCAGATGTTAACCATAATGAACCTAAGTCCAGTGGTGTTTGTTACTTCTCTCCAATAAGTCACACGGCTTTTCATTTTCAAGAGCGTACAGAGGACAT